AAACAGAAATTCAACCCACACATCAGCTAGAAAACACCACTTATCTTCAATGAATGTTGTCATGCCCAATGGTATATTATATACAATACAAAAACTTGTGGGACTTAAACTAATACAAAAGCCATTCCTCATAATTTAGAAAAGAGAAAGTCTTAACTCTGTAATCTTCATCCTTGGTCTAAGATAGATGGCAAAGCACATAGAATATAAGCTTTGTAGCGAGAAATATTGACAAAATCAGGATGACACAGAACAGGTCTAACAGAACTTAAACTGAGAAGAAGGCATAAGCAAGAAAAGTGTTTTGTTCATATAACACAACAAAGCATGCAAATATAAAAAATTTATTTTTTTCACTTGAACACTAATATCTTTGTACAAACATCCCGCTGTTGGCACTTTGCTTATGTGTGATAGCTCTTTTTCACAATATATGAATCAGCTAAAAGTTTTCCTAAAGCCCTCTGAGTATATGTGATGTTACCTTCAACACAAAAAGAAGCAGTAGCGTCCCATTAATTGGGGTTCACCCCTAAATGAACACTGCATGACAATCTAGGAGATCATTTATGAGGACAGGTAAAAGAATACTGAAATGTCCTATATCATACTCAGCTCTGTTATGAAGTCATGCATGACTCTGCTACTTTGCACTTACCCCAAGACCCCTCTTAAGTGGCTCTGTAAAGAATATGCATGAGCATCAGTGTGAATTATATATAAGACAGACTCATGGAAAATAAGAATCAGGTCCCTAATGTAAAATAGGTGTGCTCTCTCTTGGCAAGTCACTGAGGCAAGCCTACCCATAATGTACTTGTAGCTAAATAATTAGTGGCCTGAATCTCCTCTTCCATGCATCTTTTTTTCCCCACTCCCCCAAAGGAATTTTTTCTCATAAGGGATTAATTACTGAATACTGCACACAAACTCCTCACAATTTCCAGTCAGGCTTGGGATAATTATACCTTCTGTAATCCACAATCCATTAGTTAGCTGATAAATTCGTGTGCTTTTTACAAAGGAAGAATACTCATGTTACAGTTTGTAATAAACCAGAAAACTAACCCCAAGAAAAAATCAAAATTAACAAAAGGAAATAAGGACAAATCAGCCATGCAGTGAAACAAACAGAATTAACAGAGAACACTTTCAACCCCATCAGGTTTCATATAACTTTAAAAAAAGGAAACACCATGCTACTAGTAATTTTTTAAATTATCGACAGGTTGGTAAAAGCTGCTGCTATGCTATGGATGCTATATAAGTCCAGCAATGGACTATAAGTCCAGCAATGTCAAATGGAAGACCAAAATATAAAAATAACTTTTTTTTTTTTAAAAAACAGAGTTTTTACAAACTGCTGTTTACACAATAAGTATAAATAAATGCCTGGTCTAAAAACTCAGATGTTCCTCTGGACCAAAGAAGGCCAGACTCATGTAAAACTCTATGGTTTGGGGACCAGACCTTGGTATTCTCTGGGATATAGTATATGCAAAATTCCTGCTCTTTCTAAATCCCAGCACTCCTTCTTATTTCATAGCACTGTATATTCTGAAGCGGATGGGCTTCTGGACATCTTTATCTTAATCCTACTTAAAAAGCTTATGAATGAGAACACCAGAAAATGGAGGTGAATCCTGTATTCCTCAGCTAAAACACCTACCGAATCCACAGAGAGCTTTGCTAGGGTGAGGACTAAGCAAGAACTGCTGTGCTTCTAATATGTTAATTAGTGACTGAGATTAGGTGCATGTCTTCATTTACTAAAATTAAAAAAACTCACATAGTAAAGTGTGCCCATATTGTGCAACAGTACTTGACCTATAATATTCCTTTTTTACTAGCTAGCCATAGTTTTCATTTCTTGCCACACATCCTTCTTACTTTGTCCTATTTACTGTTACAAGTCCTGTAAAACACCTGCTGCTCATTCACTGTCACCTTGTTCTGTTTCACCTTGCTGTAAGTGCAGTCAATGGCAAACCTTTGCTGACCTCGAAAGGCGCAGGATTTGTCCTGAGATGCCTAATCCAAAGCGGGACTCCCTCTTAATTCAGTAAGATTGGATCAGACCTAGAAGGGATCTTGGCAGAATCAAGAAGTGGCAAGACACAGTCAAAAATCAAAACCACATCCAAGTGTTTATCTCACATTCCTAATCTCTGATGTGAAAGGGATTAAAAAGCAAGCTGTTCCTGTCAACTGCTTGGATGCTACACAGGATCTGAATGACTGAACAGGCATCAGTAGGATAGCTATACACATTGATATGGTTTCATTTCTTTCTAAAGAAGTTTGAAAGGGAGCTAGTATTAGAATTTGAGGCTTATGGTAATATTTCCTCACTTGGTTCCCAATTTTCCACTGTCAAAATGCCACCATCCTTTCCACTCCTACAGAGGAAAGAAGATGGTTGTGCCTCTTATTTCAGGACGAACCAGCAACTTATATGACTGAACAAAAGATGAGAAATCTGAAAGTGATGTTATGCAAACATTTCTGATACAACCTTGCCACAGAACCTAACACAGTCTGTGACGGTTACAGACTGTTTCAAATTACATCCAGCTGATTTCAGCACATTTTGTTTTATGTTACCCAAGTTTGAATGTATTGTGATAGTTTTTTTTCTCCTTTTTGTCATTCAGACAAGTTTCTACAGCTGTCTGAGATGCCATAGGTGTATCTGACTATAATTTTGGCTCATATATGTATTTAGAGACTGAAGCTCACTAGAAAGAGAAACTGAGTGCATGTATTATGGTGACTTCTGGCTACCAGAACCACAGAAAAACCACATCAAATGGCATTAACTTAGGCAGAAGGCAACTGAAATAATGAAAACCATTACAACATATATATATATATATATATATATATATATATATATATATATATATATATATACACAAGTGCAATGTGAAACTCCCTGTAGGAAGAAAGGATACACCTATTACATTCAATCAAAGCAGGAGATGAGGGAAAAGGGAAATAAAAAGGTAAAAAATAATTATTTAGACATCTTGGGAAATTAAAGAAATGGTCACTTTCATCTGCAAAACCTGAGGAGAGATCTGGTCTGAGTGCACAAAGGGGAATTTTCTTAAAAGCTCAAATTTGGCCTAACTTCTTTTAAGTAAATTCATGACAGGGCACTGATAAGTTATAAGAGTTTGGACAAAAGCAAGCACTCATGAAAGTTTAACCATCCTATATTTCTTCCTTTAACCATCATATATTTCATGTAAAAGAATGAAAGCAAGTCACAGACAAAGAACCGAAATATCAGTATATTCATTTTGTTTTATTCATCTGGTTCATTTTACTGTGTTGACTCCTACCTAGAATTAGGAAAACACTAATTAAGCATATGTCTCAAGCCCTAAATGCAACTGCCTTCTTTGAGATATATATATGAAAATATTTCACAAACAAATCTGCCTGCTGGGTGTCACAGAGGCAGCATCCATGACCAGGCGATCTCCCAGGTCACACACAGCGTGTTTCAGCTGCATGGCTCAGAAAGGAGATCCTCCCGCCTGCATCCAGGAGGACAGGTCTGTTATGGAACACATTGGTGACGTTTCAAGCCAAGCAGGACTGCAAAGCTGGTCCCTGAGTCCTGCAGGCAGTGTAGCAGCTGTGTCACAGAAGTGCTGGGGAGGCTGATGGATGTTAGCTTGTACCAGGGGATCACAGTGTGTAACACGGCTTCCCTGAACCCTTTTTGGCACAACTTATACCCATCTGTTTCCCCTCTGCTCCTTCCCCGGGAGAGGAACATATGGCCCAGAACATGTATCTCAGAAGCAGAAAATATATTCATGTAATTTTCTAAAATATTCTGAATACTTCTATTTTTCTTCTATAAGCTTTTATTCATTATGAATCTTATTATGGCAAAATAAATATTTTTTTTTTTACAAAATTAAGTCCTTGCTTAAACAGTTAGGTAGTCCACAACGAGAAATTAAAATTTAAAAAATTGTGTATTGTGCTTCGATAGTAAGAAGTTGCTATTGCAAGGAAAATCTTTGCCAAGATTCTGGTTTTTGGCCACTGCGCCATCATATTTTAATACTTACCTTAGTCCAAGAGCATTGCAACCAAAAACAAATCAACAACAGAAGAAAATAAAACCACAGTTAAGCTTAACATGAACATCTAAACATCGAACATTTTTGTTTTGAGTCATTCAAACTGGGGACAAGCTTCCACAATTTACTGTATCAATGAGACTTTAGTCAGCTTGTCTGTTTGAAGGCAGCAGTACCAGGACAAGGCTTCATCTGAATGTGTTCTCACTTCTCACTGAATATATACGTATTTTACGCACATATGTGTGTATAAGTGTGTATATATGGATAGAATATATACTTGTTTATATACATACACAGCATACAAATATATAAAGGCATACATATAAATATATATCTATGTGTATATATGCACTTTAATATTTTTATACAGAACACTCTAATGCTTGATTGCAAAAAATGTAGTATAAGAGAAAACGCACTGCAGTCCTTGCCCAGCGTAAAACCATGCCAGACCAGCTGTTGACACTTTGATAATCTACCCAGTACAACTTATGAAACACTGACACCACACCTTTGCAGAGCCTGTAACAGGACAAGCAATACTGAATATTTCTCATAACCAAATGCTTTTCTAACAAACAGGTAAATAGTGGTCTCTGGCAGTATTTTCATTCAATATGAAGTCCATTAGGAATCACACAGATGTTTCTGATCACATTACAGCAAAAGCACAGTACACTAGTTGCCTAAAAACAACTGAATTCAGCAGTTTCTTCTGCTGATTTCAGTGGGGTTTAGGATAGATTTGGGTGTATTCACTTCATCATATGTATATTTTTATATTCTTCTTTTCTCTGAATATTTTAGTGAAAGTTGTCAATTCCTCAAAGTCAGACGCATTGGTCATGAAACTATTTTCTACTGTCTTTGTGTTAAGCCTACTGTTTATCTTACCTTTGCTGCCACAGATGAGTTGGGTTTCTCCAGCAAGTCCCAAAGCTTCTTCCTTTTCTCTGGGCAGCAAGTATTATCAAACTCTTCCCCTTCTCTCTCTCGCATTGTCTCTGCCTCTCTCCTCAGTTCCTCATTCATCTGCTCTTTCTTTTGATGGTATCTTGCCTGGCAGCAAGATTCTAAATATATCTCATCAATCCCCCAGTAATCAAGCTCCTGGCCAAAAGAAAGAGCACACATTTCTTCCATCATATGTAGTTTCCCTGTCCTGTAGAAATTCAAAATGGAAGTGAAAGCCCCTGGGTGTCGATCAAAAAAATATTCATTTTCATTTAGATTATAGTCATCACATACTTCTAGCAGAGATTCATGGGTATTGCAGTCTCTGAGCTTTCCTAATCGTGTCCTTGGAAGTCTGTCCAAAGTCCTCCACAGCACTTCATGGTTGAGCCCCCCGACATTTATTTTAACTCTCCGTGAGCAGGCTTTGCTCCTAATGATCTCCACTGGTTCTGGAGGGAGAGAAAGGGTAGACCTTGAAGACTTTTTGGTGATCCCTGGTGGAGCCTTCTCAGCCATTCTGAAAAAGATGAAGTTGTAACACCAGAGTCCTTAGGAGAATGAGCTTGGACACTACAAATGTTTGAGCAGAGTCCTCTTCAGACAGACAGCTCCATTCCTGAAGCTAAAAAAGACAAAAAATTAGAATATTGCTAGGTACAATATATCCCCCAATCTCTCTCTCTCTTTGCACACTTTTATATGGAGATGAAAACTTAATGTTAGCAATTTGCTCTCTCTATAATGATACTCTTCTGTGGTAATATACAGAACCACTGGAACAACTGGAACAGCTAAGAACACTATGTTTAAGCAAAGGAAAAACTCACTTGTACTTCTGCATTTGTGAAAATCAACTGTGACAATTTGTACAAAGGACTTGGGGGGTTCTGGGGTTTTTTTAAATCAGTTTGTGATGCAGCTATGTTAGCTTAATCTGATTACTTGGCAGTTAATGTATGAGGTGTGCAATGGAAAGACTGTAGGGTTATCCATAAGAAAAAAAGTAAGACAGAGGCCAGTCTCACTTTTATTAAAGAATTCAAATTTGGGAGATACTGAAACTGAATAAAGCAATTGCAGCATACCAGAACATCCAAACTAAAATGCTTCTCTCCCTCTCCCAACTCAAACCCTGCTTTGCTGTATTACTTCATGGGTAAACGTTATTCACCAAACTATTAAATTGTCATCATGACAAGTCAAATTTTCTAGCACCAGACAATGATTATTTCTTTAAAAACAGGGTAAAAGAATCCTAACTCTTCTGCATCCAACTGACCAGTGATACATGTTATATAGGCAAGGGCTGTGCATACTGTTCTCTGGACCCTCTGTAAGGCTCTTTTCTGCCCCACTTTTCACCTGTTAAATTGCTGCAGACAGCAATCAGCAGCATCATTTTTAATAATCCACAAGTGCATCCTCACTCACTGTGCCTAGTGCTGCAGTGAACTCTGAATTGCAGCTGTTTGTCACTAAATTTGGAATGTCAGTATCGAAGAGGAAGGAAACCCACTCACCCGCTCTACTATGGTCAACTGTCAGATCCAGTGCTTAAATAATAACCTAGCAATGGTATCATGGCCCAAAGGGAGAATATTAAGGATGCTTAGACAAGCTCCTGTTCCAAACTTGGAAAATCCTCCTTAGTAATTTCCCAGAGTTGACATCTCCTCCTCCTGTTCTCTGTAAATCAACAACTCAACAATTTGGAAGATTTTGTTTGTTTGTTTTCCTTTGTTTTGTTTGAAATCAAGTGAAGAAAGGCCAGCTTTAAAAAAGTGTTTGATGCATACAAGAATTTGATCCGCTTTGCAGAGTAAGCATGAAGGTTATGATGGGAGGGATTGTTATCTATAAATACATCAGGAGTAAACACCTGTGAGGGATAAGAACTATTTGTACTAAAGGACCATGATGGCACAAGAATAAATGACTACAAATTCACCACGAAAAAAGGTAGAAATTTGGAAGAGAATTAGAAGGTCACAAAGACCAGATCATCACCAAAGCAGTGAGGACCTAGAATAATCCTTTACTAAAAGTATCAGGAAAAACAAAGAATTATTTCAGTGTGTCATCAGACATGCTTATGACAGTACTGGCTATGTTGCTGGCATAAAAATTAAAATTGCTAAACCTCATTATATCTAAGCATTAAAAGTTCCTCCAACGACAGATAAATTAAGACTCAGCCACGTACAATACAGGTGTTAACACACTGCCGTGTCCAAAAACATCAGGAAAGAGGAAAACGGCAACAGCCCAACGCACCACCATTTTAGTTAGCAATTTCACTGTCAAGCTGAACCTACTTCAAAACCACAACAGCCAAAATTTTCTGCCTCTTCCCATCCCGCATGCAGCACCACAGTGTGAAGATCCCTCCTCATTTCCCAGTGCAACCTAGAGCACTTCTGTGCCTAATTACGTAGGGGTTTAAACCTTTAATATTTACATTCATTCACAAAAAATATAATCTGATAACTCCACTTGTAAAGATAAATGTCCTACCAAAATCAAAGCCCTGGCATCAGTAGTTTTACACAGTATATGTACCTTTCTGTTGTGTTTGTTTTGTGTTTTGCTTTTTTCCTCCTGACCTTAGGCTGATTTTTAACTTTGGTTTTACTCTCCTCCTCATTGCCTTATATGTAAGCGGATGATGGTGAGACTTCTGAGAAGGCAGGGACTCAAGTCTTCTCAAGATCTCCTCACTTAAGCATCTCCTAGTGGTCTGTGATGCATTTATCAGTCTTCTAACATACAAACATCCACACAAAGAGTAAGTATTTATGAGAGGATAATTCTCTACAGAGAAAATACTTGCAAAGTTTATTTTTTAAAAAAAATCCTTTTAGACTTTAATGTACAACGATGTTTCTCCTTTAAAGGTTGTCTTATATAAGAAAACAGAAAAATTTAAGAAATTCATAGAGAGGTTCTGTCATTCTCCATGAAATCAGTCAAGTCTTCAGGCAATTTCTAGAGATGTTCACTGGTTTATTCATTATTTTATCTCAGGGAATTATTCTTTTTTTTTTTTAAATGAAAATGTGTACCCTAATATTAGCAATATCGAGTAAAACATGGTAGAAATCAAGCAGCTGATCTTAGGTTAACAATATCCTCATTTATTTTTCTGACTGTAGAAACTAAAGATGCACGAGACTATGCATCGTTTTAGCTTTTCTGCAGTGCAGTTACCACACATGTTCAACAATGCAAAAATTATAGTGTCAGGAAGACTGGTGTAAAGCTGATAAAACATTTTCTGGTTTGTCAGTATAATTACTGGTTGCAGCTTCCTACTTGAGGAAATGTGGCTTTTCTAAAAAGCTTTAAAAACCCAGTGGCCACACTAAAGTCAGCAGTGAAACACTATTAAGTTTAGTCTTGAGAAGGTGTTATGTATATGTGTACCAAAGGATGAACCAGAATTCACAACATGTAGCACTCTGAAAAGATAAAAAATAAAACTCATTTTCCCAAATGAAGAATCTTGAACCATAGGGGTGATTTTTGGCTTTTTCACAGAGCTCCATCATAAAAACATATACAAGAAACAGAGTATATAACTTTAAAATAAATACATAAATTCTTTTAGTTAGCTTCCTAACTTTTCTTCCCACCTTCATTTGTTCTTCACACTTCCTTTTGTTCTCTGATGATAATTTTTTAAAAATTTCTTCCTGCACATCTTTTCTGCAAAGATGGGCTACAAAGCCTGTATTTAACTGTGCCTTTAATAAAAACATAGAATCTCCTGAATTGAAAGGGACCAAAAGAGATCACTGAAGTCCAACTCCTGGCCCTGCACAGGACAGCCTCAAGAATCACACCATGAGCCTGAGAGCATTGTCCAAATGCTTCTTGAACTCTGTCAGGCTTGGTGCTGTGACCACTTCCCTGGGGAGCTTGTTTTATGCCCAACCACCCTCTAGGTGAAAAACCTTTCTTTTACTAATATCAAACTTAAATCTCCCCTGACACAACTTCAGGCCATTCCCTCAGGTCCTATCACTGGTCACCACAAAGAAGAGATGAGTGTCTGCTCCTCTGCTTCCCCTCATGAGGAAACTGAAGGCTGCAATGCTACAGTTGCTCCCCTCTTCTCCAGGCTGAACAGACCAAGTGACCTCAGCCACTCCTCATACAGCTTTTCCTCTGGACCCTTCACCACCTTTGTAGTCCTCCTTTGGACACTTTCTAATAGCTTTACATCCTTCTTATATTGCAGTGCCCAAAACTGCACACAATATTCAAGGTGAGGCTGCCCCAGTGCAGAGCAGGGTGGGATAATCCCCTCCCTCGACCAGCTGGCAATGCTTTGCCTGATGCCCCTCAGGACACGGTTGGCCTTCTGGCTGCCAGGGCACTGCTGATTCATACTCAACTTGCCCTTGATCAGGATCCCCAGGTCTCTTTCCACAACACTGCTTTCCAGCATCTCATTTCCTAGTCTGTATATACATCCAGGGTCGCCCCATTCCACGTGGAGAATCCAGCACTTGCCCTTGTTAAACTTCATGTGGTGGGTGATTGCCCATCTCTCTAATTTGTCAAGGTCTCCCTGCAGGGTCTCCCTGTATTCCAGGGAGTCAAAAGCTCCTCTCGATTTTGTATCATCTGCAAACTTACTTAGTATCCCTTCAAGTCCTGCATCCCAATAATTTATGAATATGTTTAAGAGAACTGAGCCAAAGACAGAGCCCTGTGGAACCCCAGTAGTGACCAGTCTCCAGCCTGATGTTACCCCATTCACTATACTCTTTGTGCCCAACCCATGCGCTAGTTGCTCAGCCATCACATGACATATTTATCCAACTGTTTGCTGAATATTTTGTCCAGAAGGATACTGTGAGAGACAGTATCAAAAGATTTATTGAAATTCAAAAAGTTTACCTTAACAGGCTCCCTTGATTGACTAGGTGGGTTACCTTGTCACAAAAGGAAATTAGGTTGAAGCACTCTAACTATGTAACATGTTTAATTTTAAAATCCGTATTAGAAATTTAATACAAAATCACCAGCTCTTTCATTATTACAAAATGATACAAGTGAGGTTACCTTTATAATTCATTAAATTACCTTTCTGGATTTTAGTTACTGTAACTAACTCAGAACACTATTATTTTTTTTTGCTGAGAAGGCTTCAAATATTTTTCAGCTTAGTTTATTGCCTTAGCCTTTTGGCTGTATGCAACTCCACCGTGCACCTTGTCCACCATGGGCTAGTGAGAAATGTAACCACCCCTTGGCAGGCAGGTAAAGCCAGCCTGCCGCTCACCAGCACTCTTAGCAATCAGTAAAGACATAAATTCTACTCCCATATATATAAGAGCAATTCCAGATAAACCCCATATTCTTTCTGTGCAATAATAAAATTACTTTGTAGCAAAATACCTGTAATACTGTGTAAACCTTTTCAAAGCCAATCCTTTGCTTATAAAAATAAAATGTGAAATAAAAGTGAAAACTTCAAAGGCTACTACTCAAAAAGCTAGGGAAAGCCAGAAGGAAGGTTAAGTGCCTTCCCCTGCACCACAGGCATTCAGCTTTTTATGGTGTGATTCCCCTTCTGCTTTATGTGAATGGGTAATTATTTACCATTTCTTTTCA